GACTGTTGTTGGAGCGGGACCCTACGGTCTCGCGATAGCGGTCTCGCGATAACGGTCTCGCGATAACAGTCGAGAGCTGAGTGCCGCTGGCTAAGGGCCGCGCGCCCGCCCTGCCTCTATTTCAGTCCGAGAGAAAGAACGCAAGACTGAAATGCAAGTCTCCTCTGTACCCTGACGTCCCTTTTGCAGTATCCTGTTGCTCACACAGACCAAGCCTGGTACAAGCAGGGGGAGACTGTACTCGGGTAAGTCCTGGGGGCAGGAGGCCCGAGGGCCCTCTTGGAGGCCTGGAGGCCCGGTACCGCAGTGTTTCATCCCTACTCCACAACTCATTAGACGTGCGATTTGGAACAGATTACTTACTCTTTTTAAGCCCCAGTTGCTTAATCTAGGAAATGGAAAGGAATAATTGTACTTACCTCAAGGGGCTAAATTGGTAATTTTAGAAGGTTCTCAGAAGGAAACCTGGAATGGAGTCAGTTTTCATTAACTGTATCTTAAAACACAAATCCATTAGTACCGCCCTATGGAATGTCTAGTATTGTAACAGGGGCAGGGTGCTCAGACACCGGTCAGCGTCGCGGTGGGTGGTCCCCACGAAGGTGGTCTCCCTGGGTCGTGGTCTGCGGACCCGGCCCCCCCCCCCCCCGTTTGTGCAGCCAGGGGAGCCTGAGGGCTGGCTGGGTCCTGGGCGCCCGGCTCCCTCAGTGATGGCAGCTGGGCAGGGTCTGGGGAGCTGGCCCCGAGGGCGCCACCAGTTGAGATCTGCCTCTTCAGCGGGGCCTGAGCACTGGCGGGAGCATGCAGACCTGATGCTGGACGAGCGCTCCCAGGCAGGGTGACGGGCCGTGTGGGGACCCCCCACCCTTAGCCAGGGCCTGGACCCCGGAGGGCAAGAGCCGGTCCTTGGAACGTTAAACAAGTAAAATGAGGGGTAACGATGTCGCTTTGCTTACAGGACTTGTTAAGGGTTAAAAGCCGCCAGGAGGCATGGAGACTGAGCTTAAAGCCTCCCCTTCCCTTTCTTGTATAATTCTCAAGCCTGTGACCTTTAAGAGTATTACACCTTTAGATACAAAGTTGCAGAACAGAGAATAACACTGTTTTGATGGAGGTTTACAGGAACATCGTGACCTGAACTTGACCTGACCAGTTGCAAAAACAAAGGACCTGACACCAAGAAGTTTGCAACAACTAATCAGCTCCTCCCTCACCTTTCCTATAAAAGGGCTTTGCTGAAAGCCTTCAGGGAGTTTGGGGTTTTTAAGGCATGAGCCACCGGGTCTCCTCGCAAGGCCCCTGCAATAAACCTTTCTCTGCTCCAGACTCCGAGGTTTTGGAATTGTTTGGCCTCACTGTGCGTTGAGCATACGGACTTGTGTTTGGTAACAGTATCGCTCCCCTGGCCAGGTAGCCTGCTTAAACATTCTGCCACTGACTGCATATCTGGATCAGCTTTTTAAATTGGCACCTTCCTCTAATTTGGATCCTTGAAGCTGGGTAAGTTCTATAATGAACCCATATCCAGTGGCTCCTCCCCATTCCCACTTTTTTTTTAAAAAATTAATTTATTTATTTTTGGCTGCGTTGGGTCTTTGTTGCTGAGTGAGGGCTTTTCTCTGGTTGCAGGGAGCGGGGGCTACTCTGTTGCGGTGCGCGGGCTTCTCATTACAGTGGCTTCTCTTGTTGCAGAGTTCGGGCTCTAGGCGCGCAGGCTTCAGTAGTTGTGGCATGTGGGCTCAGTAGTTGTGGCTTGCGGGCTCTACAGTGCAGGCTCAGTAGTTGTGGTGCACAGTCTTAGTTGCGGGCTCTACAGTGCAGGCTCAGTAGTTGTGGTGCACAGTCTTAGTTGCTCCGTGGCATGTGGGATCTTCCCAGACCAGGGCTCGAACCCGTGTCCCCTGCATTGGCAGGTGGATTCTTAACCACTGTGCCGCCACTAGGGAAGTCCCCCATTTATTTACCCCATGTGTTTGGTACCTTTTGCCCTCTCTTCTCTCCTTAGACTGTGAGCTGTCTCGAAGGAAACTTGTGCTTTAATCTCTGAATTTCCCAAAGCTGCTGTTTGAACTTCCTACTGATTTTTACATAGCCCATGCTCACACAGTGTATGCTGGCTACATTTTACGAAGCAGAACATGCAGAAGGTGAAAGCCACTATCATAAGATAACAATCATTGTCCCCCAAATGGTGTATAGTAAGTCACCCCCAAACTCAAAGCCATACAACCACAACCACTTACTTGCTCATGGGTCTGCAGGTCAAAAGAGAATTGGTTGATCTTGGCTGTGCTGGGTTGGGTGGTGCTGCTTTGGGCTGTAAGTCAGCTGGGCTTGGCTTCTTGCTGCAAGTCTCAGCTCAGGTCTGCACCGCCTGGCTTTATTCCAGGACCCAGGCTGAGGGGCAGTGCTTACCCTGGACGTGTTCTTCTCAGATAACAGTAGAAGCACAAGAGGGCAAATAGAATCCTGCAGTGCCTTTCAAGCCTTTCCTTGCTTATGAATGCGACTATCTAATTGGCTGAAGTAGGTCACATGACTGAGCCCAAAGTCAAGGGATGCAGAAGTATTTCCTCTGCTTCCAGCGGGAAGAACTTCAGAGTCACTCAGAAAGTGGCGTGGACAAACTGATAAAAGTTGGGTCCAGTAATTCTACTATATAGGGTATTAAGTTATCAGAACTAAGAACCAAGTGTTGCTGGGAATACTGGACTTTCTGAGAATTTCTGAGTATTGTTCTTTCACATCTAGAACTGGGAAACACTTGAGAAATGAGTTTTAAAGTGGAAGTCTGCATGAGAGTGACATGACCCAATGCGTGGGTTTTAGAGATTCGACCCTACTTTCTTCTTCTGTGGACACTTCCACTGGCTTTTCCTTTGAGCTCTTTTTCCTCAGACATAAAGTAGAGATACTAAAACCTACCCAGGTTGTTGTGAAAATTAACATTAATTAACATATAAGAACTTACTTGGCATTACAATGTGCTCAGTGTTTGTTTCCCTCTCTGTCCTGCTGGAGTGAGGGTGGGGGGAGGTGAAGGGTGCTTTGATTTTCCAGCAAGCTTCTGAGGCCTGAACTCAGTCAGGGAAGGACTCAGCTTTCCTGACTGAAAAAGAGATAATGACAGAGAACCTTCACCATATTCATCCACTTGTTGCTTTAAGGTAGATGAGTGATCAACTGTTGCCTATTTTGGGTTCTAAAATGCCAAGTTATTGCCATAGAAACATAATTATAATGAGTAATTAAATGAAAATGTTTTCCAAAATCTTCTATAATTGAAGTTCTAAATTTCTACCTTTTCAGTCAGTTCATATAAGCATAACCCCAAAACTGTAGCACACATCTTATTCTCTTCCAAATCAAATCAATGAGTTATTTGTGGTAATTTATTTTTTAAAATGAAATAAATTCTCTCTGGCCTTATTCTGAATGTGCAACTTCCACCCTTTCCGTTAAGAAATGGCATCTAGCCTGCTGAAACAATCTGGATTTTAACCTTGTTTTGCTTTGGCATCCCAGGAAAGGTCTGTGAACAGGTCAGTAGCTGTTGACAAGGATCTTTCATCAACTTTAGAATATATCTGGGCGCACTTTGCTGGAGAATTCCTTAGAAGAATCCTTTACGATTTGCAAGAGACCTGTTGGCTGTCCTCTCACACTCTGCAGCAGTCCCCCACCAAAAGCCAAAGTACCTCCTACGCCCAAAATACATTTCAAATCCATCTGTGCAAGCTGACTGTCAGTGACATGGGCTGCAACTGTATCCTCTCAAATGCCACCCTGTGTCTACTCTTATCTACCCTCCCAATTCATTTTCGCAAAGCAACCACAGCGGTCTTTTGAAAACCTAGAATCACATCACTTCTCCCTCTGGAAGAAGTGATAAAGGCTGTCTCTTGAAAAGCTTCCTACGGCTTCTTATTGTAATTACAATGAAAGCCCACATTTCTTAAGAGGCCGTCAGGGGTCCACTTGGCACTGTTCGATCTTGCCCTGACCTACATTTCAATTTCTTCCTTAGGTAGGTGAGCCCACCGCAGTGAGCTTTCTTCCAGCTCCTTAATATTCTAACTTCCTCCTTCTCAAGATCTTTGCATAGGTTGTTCCCTCTGCCTGGAATACCCTTTCCTTTACCCTCCACATGTCCAGTTTCTTCTCATCTTTCATCTCAGCTTAAATGTCAACTCCACAAAATTGACATTCCCAGCAGATCCCCTTATTTAATATTCTCTGCTACCATCCCATTTACTTCTTTCATAGTAGTTACCCCAATTTGTTATAAATGCATTTGTGTTCTGACTTGTTTAACATCTGACTCATCCATTGGATGTAAGCCCCATAATAATAGGAGTAATATCTGTGTTTTGTTCACTATAGTGTAACAGGGCATAGTCCTGTGCCTAACCCTGGAAGATGCTCAATAATTGCTTCTAAAGTAGATAAATGATTGCATGAATGAATGAATAAAGAAGGCTAAGTCATCAATATTTACCAAGAAACCTAAAATATCTCTGAAGCCCCATCAGATAGCCATCACTGGAACATTGCCCAGGGAAACTACACAGTGTCTTTTGGAGGAAAAAGCACCAACTTGGGGGGTAATAAATCAGGGATACTGGTACAATTTCCCATGGGACTGTCTGCAAATTTTAGGGCCTTTCTGAACCACAGCTTGCTTGTGGTTAAAATGAAGGTTTACAACCAAACTAGGAATGCTTAACCAGGAGAGGGCCATGGTCTACTATGGACATGCATTTTATGTTATTTTATAGTAGTGAGCTTCCATCAAATTTTAAAATATTCTTGACTCCAAAAAGGTTAAGAAATACTGGATTAGATTAATTCTAAAGCCCCATATGCCTCTGACAATCTGTGTTTCTATAAAAGGAAGATCAGTGTACTGGTCAATATTGGATATGGCTTCATGTAACAGAGTTCTCACATAACAGCATCTCAAACAAGATTGAGGTCTATTTTGTCTCTCTTTCCTTTAGGTCTGGAGGTGAGTGTTCCAAGATCCGTAAGGATTCCAAGCTACCGGAGACTCCAGTTCTTGTCTTGTTGCTCCACCATCCCTCGGGCATGGCCCTTGTCTGAATGAATATTTGACCACACATGGCTGGATGGATACTCCAGCCAGGAGGACTGAGGTAGGGGAATGTCGCCTATTTTTAAAGACAGAAGTGAAAATGTCGTGTAGCATGGGTCCTAACTTCCTATTGGCTGCATTTGGCTGGAAGAGAGTCTAAGAGATACAGATTTCACTCTGGGTGGTCATGTGCTCAGCTAAAAATCAGAGGTTCTACATAAGTCTTAAGTAAAGAGATGTGTCTGATGCCTGCTATCACAAGAGACAGACTGTGCAAAGGGAAATCAGGTTTGCAGACTGCCTGGCATAAGTACCCAGAGAATTTACATCTCATAGAATTTCAGGTTGCAAGAGACTTAAGAGTTTTGTAATCAAGTCCTTTTTGTCTGCATATTTTCCATTGTGGTTTCTTCCTGAATTTAATTTATTTACACATGGAATGAATATTTACTGAGTACCTACATCTACTGCATTATGCAAGCACTGTATCAAACTCTACATATAGAGTCCCTGCCCTCGGAGTGAATAGTCTACAGTAGAGGCAGAGAGCAGACCTTCCCACTGTAGCCTCAGGATCATTTCTCGCAGGAGACAGTGGGAGCAGAAAGAAGAGGCCCCTCCTCAACCTTCTTGGGAACCTGTGGTTCAAGAAGGGCCTTCTGTAGGAGGGCCTCATACTGAGTTTTGAAGGATGATCAACAGGTGCAGTGCCTGACATGGGGAAAGCAAAGGAGGTACTCACATCACCTCCAAGGGATGACTAGGAAGGAAGGAGGGAGGGAGGAAGGGACAAAGGGGAAAGAGGGATGGGATGGGAAGACAGGGTTTATTGCACGGAGGAAAAAAATCACTAGAAGATTTCAGATTGTTGATCTGGTAACAATTAAAAACTCATCTTAGGCTTAAAAATATACACACCATATAGTATTTTTGTTATTAAAAATGGTATTAGTGTTCTGTGGAATAGGCAGGCTGTATTTCTCTTTTCTTTCTGTCCATCTCCCCTCCAGATGGTGAGCACCAGAGGGCAGAGTTCCTGTCCGTTTATCTCTGTAGACACCAACTCTAGCAGAGTGTCTGACACAGTAGCAGGTCCAGCAGGTGCTTGGCAAATGAGAGAATGAGCAGATGTTAGGCTGATGAAGAGGCGCAGGCCTTCTACACAGAGGAAACAGCATCCGGAATGATGGGAAGGCTGTAGAGAGCAAAGAGCAGCAAGGGGTTCATCTCTGTTGGAGGCCAGTGTGCATAATGGGTGGAAGGAATGAGGGCAGTTTGGTGAAAAAAATCACTTTTTAAAACTGTTTCCTCAGGCTCCCCACCAGTAGCTGCACGCTGATAGTATCCCAAGCCTTTCTTCTGTGGTACCTGTCACCGTCTGTAACCATACACTGGAGTAGTAGCAGGTTGTGGAGAGTCCAGGCCACTTCCTGGGCACAGATCCTGGCCTTGCCACTTCCTAGCTGTGTGACCTTGGGCAAGACATTTAAACTGTCTATGAGGCAGTTTTCTTACCTGGAAAATGGAAATAAAAATGCCTATCTCATAGGCTTGTTGGAAGGTTTAAGTGAAAAAAATACAGTTAAAGTAGTTCCTTGATCATTAGTGCTTAATAAATGTTAGTTATTGTTAATAGGTGATGATAATGATGATAGATGATAGAGAGATAGATAGATAGATTAATAGATAGACAGATAGATTGGGGCAGGTGTCTGTGTGGTTAGTTGATTATGGTATGTCTAACCCTACTACATTATAAATAAGGGGCAGGACCACCTCTTACCTTTATGGAGGCAGCCCAGCAAAATGTCCGGGATGAGGGAGGTGCTCAGTAAATACAGATGAAAGGATGAAAGTGACAATGCAGCTGGAGAGGTAGGTGGGAGACAGATCATCTGGGACCTTGGAAACTGTGCTAAGAAGCTTGGATTTCCCCTCGGGGCTAGTCTAGGCTCCTGAAGGGAAATAAAATGGTCTTATTCTCAACATCACGGAGGCTGGACTGGAGGGGAGCAGGCTGCGAGGTCCCCAGTCACACCGATTGAACGAATAATCCAGGCACTAGCCGATGAGAGGCTGGATTGAGGAAGGGGCAGCACAGAGGAAAAGAAAAAAAACAGTTTTCCCTCTTGGGTCTTTATCCAGGTTACTTAACATCTCTCAACCTTAATTTCCTTATGGGGAAAGCAGAGCTCAGAACTCAATTCTGACAGGGTTTCTGTGGGAATATATAAAATATATGAAGAGTGACACATATTCTCGGTCTGATAGATAATCAACACGTATTACGCCCCTTCTCTGCCCCTCCGGATCAGCAACACACTCTCCCCAGTACCAGCTCCCCTCCCCGCAACCAAACACACACACACAGATGTCAGTAGCCGATATTTAGGGACATATAGCTTACTCTTCTAATCGTGCGCTCTTAAAAGTGGAAGGACCTGTCAAGGTCAGTTAGTCCTACTCAAAGCCTTTTAGGACTAGAAAAGATCCTAGGTCACAACTACTTCGTACGCTTACAGACACGGAGAATCAGAAAAGTAAGGTGATTTACCCAGCACACAGCGTGCAGGCTTTAGAGCTGGTCCACTTTATACCTCACTGTTTTTTCTAGGTTCAGTATTCCAAAAGCTAGCCCAGTGTGCCATGGGATATTATTACCAACATCCAGGAATTTTTATTAACCATATTCACAAATAGCGAGCCCAAGGTAAAGCAGAGACTCTGCAGCGGTAGTATCTATGATGTGTTACACGCAAATTGTGTGCTGGGCACTTGGCCACTTTCTTTATTTACATTAATTTGTTTCATTCTCATTATTATTCCCAATTTACAGATTAATAAATCAAGTCTCAGAGAAGTAAAATAATTGCTTGTATGTGACGTAATTAGAGTCAAATATATTAAAACATTTACAAGCTTCATTAAGTAGTTATTACTGGAAACATTTGTTGTGTGGCAGATACTCTACTAGGTCCTGGATTGCTCTGACTCCAAACCCAGCTCTGTCTCATTGCAAAGTCCTTGCTCTTCATCACTGCTCACCCACACAAAGCCTAGGTGAAAACAGCATGGATTGAATTCCCAGGCCAATTTCTCTTTATCATTCTGGTTCTTCCATATTCAGATTTTTTTCATTATTTTCAACTATATTTTATTATGATTTATTTTTATTTCCTGTCCTACAGCATGTCAAATTTCAAGTCCATTTCATCCAATAGACACTTAATCAAGTCATAACTATGCAAAAGCAATATGCAAGAATAGAGGGTAGGAAAATGTAAAGATTAATGAAACAGGACCCTTGCCCAAAAAGAGGTGACAGTATAATTCTAGATTGTAGGAGGATTAAATAGAGGTACTAGACTGGGAATATAAAGGGAAGAGAAAATGACATTTAACAAAGGCCCGTACTGTGCTGGATGCTGTTTCTTGGGGCTTTCCATACATTATACATATAGCCCTCATAAGAGCGATTTCTGGTGGAGAACAAAAGAGAGTCAGGGGTTCAGAATGAGTAACTAACTTACCTAAGTTTGCATGGCTAGTGCTGGTGAGTGGCAGAGTGACAATCCCCTACAGTTCATCTGACCCCAAAACCTGGACCCTATTCACTACATCACACCATCACCAGAAAGCAGCCAGATGGGGACAGAAGAGGGAACCATAATTCTGACTGAGAAGTTCTTCACTTTAACACTTAATTATTCTTAACCCTTAGTTCTTAACTTTCTTAACACTTAACTATTCTTTCACTCCCATGTTTGAAACCTGGACACACAAGGTTGAAATGGGAAGGAAACTTAAAATTCAGCTGGTCCTAGGAAGACAAATAGATATTTATCTCATGGTCAATGGAAAAGGCAACTCCAACCAACAACTAACAAGTCTTCTAATTTATGAGGTGAGAAGTCCAGAGCCAGAGAAGTAGTTGTCTTTGTGTGGGGTGGAAGATGATGGCACGAACCCCAGGCATGTTGATTTGCTCCTCATCCCCACCAGTGTGAGCTGCTGGTCTGAGAATAACCTTGATTTAGTTCAGGTGGCTGGAAAGGTGATAGGATAGGAGAGGTTCAAGTATGGAATAAGCCTGGGAGAAAATAGTTGAGATGGAGCTGCATCTCAGAACCAGATGAGGGATTCAGAATGGAGACATATCCAGTGGCTAGAAGGCTGGCTGTAAGAAGAAGTTCCCAGTTCTTGGGACAAAGAGGGAGGATCCGAGGCCATGAAAACAGGCAAGTGAGACAAAACCAAGAGAAGAAGTAGGACTCAAAATGAGTAATGAAACCTGGATACATGAAGGAGCTCAGTCCCAGAGCCAAGAGGGAAATGAACATTAAGGGGACACCATCCTGGCTATTTTGGGACACATTACCTCGTTTAATCCTCACAACTGCATTATGGGGTGGGTAGTCTAACCCCTTATTTATAATGAGGACTGGGACTCAGAGAGGTAAATTACTTGTCACATAGCTAGAACTTAAGGGCTGGAGAGATTTTTTTTGTTGTCACAAGTGGGGATTTCTACTGGCATCTAGTAGACAGAAGCTGGGGATGCTGCTAAACATTCTACAACACACAGGACAGGCCCCCACAAACAGAGAATTATCCAGTCCCAAAGGCAAACCGTGGTCAAGTGGTTGAGAAGCTTTATTCTGCATTGCCAACCTCGGAAATGACAGAGAATACAAAGCAAGTTCTTTGTATTTGAAATTATACATCATTCACCCTTCACACATTTATTGAGTGCCTACTAAGTTCCAGTAACGGTTTTATTTCTTCTCCCCAGCTTTATTATGGTATCACTGACAAATAAAAATTGTACATATTTAAAATATACTATGTGGTTTTGATGTAGGTATACATTGTGAAATAATTACCACATCAAGTCCATTAACATATCCATCACCTCACATAAGTACCATTTTGTGTGTTTGTGGTAAGAACACTTAAGATCTGCTCTCAAATTTCAAGTATATGATACAGTATTATTAACTGTAGTCACATGTTGAATGTTAGATCTCCAGAACTTATTCATCCTGCATAACTGAAACTTTG